CTTTGAACCCAATCTTTTGAAAAGCGGTCCTTATAGCATGCAATCTTAATGTCAGATTAAATACTTTCTCTTTAACTATTTTCCATACTTTAATGTTTTTAAACGATTATGACAGAAAGGTAGTCCTTTCATATTAAGGAGGAGCTCAAAATGTTTTAACAATTTTTTGATGGCTTATTATGTGTTGATAGTAAACCTTTCTTTCTGGAACAGAGGCCTGCTTACAATTTTTTTTTTAGGATTATAGTGGAGTATATATTTTATCAAATTGATTTTCCAAAAGTTATTTTAACTTGAAAGTAAACATTTATATAATCTCACTGTGAATGCAAATAATTTGATGCATTTTACATTTTATCATTAATAAAATGTGAGGATTGGTATGTGTGTATAAACAATGCTTACTTTGGGTGTTTAATGAGTTTGTTCCCCTGAACAACTCTCTAAAGGCGTACTTGTTCATCCTTCCATGTTCAATTTACGGCTTCTCATTTCTTGAAAATATCATACGTAGTATTTAAGTGTATGAAACTTTTTTATCTTCTACATTCAACTTCCAAAAGTGTGGTTAGCCTCCACACTTTATCTTATTGAATTAATAAGTTGGAATTTGTAACATCCCAAACAATATCTATATAAGGGGATGCAAGTTTTTGGTAACATCCCAAACAATATCTTTTTTTGGCTAGCTTTCTTCCTCTTTCACCGTTTTTAGCTAGCTTTCTTCCTCTTTCCATTGTCCTCCTTTTCATATGCTTCATTGTTTTATCCAGCTCGGTTTTGTATATGATCCTAACGTAGAACAATCTGAGTTTCTTTCAAAACATACTTCAATACATACCTTCAAGTCACAACAGATATGTCACCTTTGTGCTTTGTCTACTAACTACTTCTTCCAACATAAATATAATACTAATAATCTTAGCCTCTTGACATTCCGGTATGAAGTAAGTATTTTTTAATGTTATCCTTGAGTTCATGTGTTGTGTCGCCATCTAAGTCTGTTGGACAGACTCTGATGGCCCTTATTCCAAAAGAAACCAATGCCACTAAAAGGGAATTTTTAAACAAATTCCTTACAAATTGTTTTACTAATGCATGGGAACACCCCCTTGGGCTATTTGGATTAATTCCCTTCCCGTTACGCACCATTTCATTTACTAGAGCAGTAGAGCTATTAGTACAGGTTTGTTTTAAAGACCATACTTCTATTCATATTAATAGTGGGAATTCCTCTTTTTGCTTCTCTAATTGGAATGGTTCTGGGCCCCTTGTCTAACGGTGGGAAGATATTCCAAAACAATGGAAGGGTATCTCTATAAAGGATGCTTTTATTGAGGGTGAGCTTATTTATGATCTTCAATAGGTATTGTCTACTCATATCACTAATAATATGGTTCCTATTACTTTTAATGAGTCCTCCGGTCATCTTGTTTCAAATATTTTGGTTGCCTCGCCCATTACCTGCAATATACCAACATCCCTCCTATAATATTTGCACCATCTTGTAGAAATATTTCAACCTTAAACATGGTTGTTGGATCAAATCCCTTGTTCATCACTTGAAAATCAATATGGCTTCTAGAGAAATTAAAGATTCAGATATGGATTTTAGAGATTCTACAGGTTCCTACATTGCTCATTGCACAAACATTCTTAATATGGATGACCGTGATATGACCCTCTACAATGCAATTTCTGAACTTTTAAAACTCTCACTGCTTGCTACTGTTGGGTTTGCTAAATAAAATAAATACATACGTAGCTCACTAGTTAATGAAGTAATTGATTTGCTTAGAAAAAATAAATACGTAGCTTTCCTTTTTGTTGTAATGCACAAAGCATTAAAGCTTTGCTTCACCAATTTATAAACAAACAACGTAGCAACCCACGTACAAAGGAAGTTAAAACCCATGACAAATGACCCACTCACCCACTACATTCATGCATGCATACCCAAGTTATTTACATGCATGTAAATAACTTAATTGACCAACTTAACTAATTGACCCAAATTAGACTGACACTAATGTAACAGCACATATACATATCAGTACCGCTACAACACATGCACAGTGCCATACGACGCACACTACTTGGCATGACTCATCCCGTCGTGCATTAACACTCTAGTCTAAAATGAATCAATGACTCAAAATAAAATAAATTAAACATGATGAAATAATAAACAACAATGTTAACTCCAACAATCACCCCCTTAACCTTGTTGTCTTTTATTTTGAACTCCTCGCGGACCATCACAGCAGTGTCGGCTCGCCGTCGTCGATCGCGGCGGCGAAATGTGCCTGCTCCTTCCTTGGTGTCATGCAATCCTTGGAGAAATGCACATACTCTTGACAATTATAGCATTGAACCTTACGGATGTCGAACATACTCTTCTTCTTTCTGGTGTGGCCACGGTAACGAGAAAGCCACTCCTCTTCTGTGAGGAGCAAGCGGTCTCCACCGCCATGGTCGTTGTTGTCGACGTCCGCATCACTCCTATCCTCCGCCGTTTTGAGCCTTCCCATAAGCTCCTCCATGGACATGGATTTAAGATCGAGAAGTTGCTGAATTGCAATAGCTACCTGGGTGTACTTGGATGGCACGATGCGGAGTAATTTCTTCATGACCTTCACCTCCTCGAGGGTCTCACCGAGGGTGCGAACCTTGTTGGCGAGCCCGTTCATGCACATGGCGAGCTCGTCGATCGTCTCGCCGCCCCGCATGCGGACGACATCAAATTCCTTGAGTAGAGTTTGTGCCTTGGCCTCACGGACACGCTCATCGCCCACACACATGGATTTGATGGCGTCCCATGCCTCCTTCGCCTTCACGGCAAACATGTAGTGCATCTCCGGTGGTACGGCTCGCAGAATTGCCACAAGTGCCACCCTATCCTCGGTGAAGCTCCCGCCACCCTCGATGGTGTCCCACACACTTTGGGCCTCCATGTTCACCTTCATGATGAGTGCCCACTCGAAGTAGTTCGTCGCCGTCAATGTCGGGTAGACGACGGTGCTGCTGGCCTGGTGGACAATGCGCTGCTGCACCACCACCTCGCGGCCGCCTCGCCGCGTTGGACTCCGCACACGTCGTACCAACAAGCGTGACAGAGTGCACGAACCTTCGCCTACCATGGCTCTGATACCAAATGTTGGGTTTGCTAATTAAAATAAATACATACGTAGCTCACTAGTTAATGAAGTAATTGAATTGCTTAGAACAAATAAATACGTATCTTTCCTTTTTGTTGTAATGCACAAAGCATTAAAGCTTTGCTTCACCAATTTATAAACAAACAACGTAGCAACCCACGTACAAAGGAAGTTAAAACCCATGACAAATGACCCACTCACCCACTACATTCATGCATGCATACACAAGTTATTTACATGCATGTAAATAACTTAATTGACCAACTTAACTAATTGACCCAAATTAGACTGACACTAATGTAACGACACATACGCATATCAGTATCGCTACAACACATGCACTTTGCCATGCGACGCACACTACTTGACATGACTCATCCCGCTGTGCATTAACACTCTAGTCTAAAATGAATCAATGACTCAAAATAAAATAAATTAAACATGATGAAAGAATAAACAACAAGGTTAACTCCAACAACTACATATTCCCAGGTTATCAATTTATCATTGAAAATGAAAGTTTAGAGGTTGAACTTGCGATCCAAGGCCCACACACATCACTGGAGACATTGGTAGATAATCAAGCAAATTATGTAATGCTTTGAAACCAATTACATTCAATAACGGTTTAACCATTCTTTGCCAAGGCCAAATTGCACATTTGTTTTTATTATTGTTGATGTCAAAGGTTCCATATTATGCAGTTCCATAATAATTTGGTGTAGCATTATATTATGTGTATACTCGATTGATAATGTTTATAAATGTGTTATTGGTACTTCTAAAGGTGGACGTTTTCAAGTATACATACAGTTTGGATAGCAAAGTGAGTTTCTGGATGTTAAACTGGATATTGACTAAAACTCATACACATAATCTGTATGATATGTGTTTCTTCTTTATATCAGCTCACATGTACTACCTCCGTCCCGTTGGAAGGTTCCCATAGCAAAACGGCACAGTTATTTAGGCAATAATTAAATAAAGTACTTCGAGTATATTTTGAGAAATAATTTTAATAGGTATATATTATAATGTAGTTAGTATTGATAACTGTGATGTTATAAATGTATAATTTTTAATATTTAATGATTAATTTGTCACTTAAGATTGTTAATTGTTTCCTAAAATGGAAATGAGAACCTTCTAACGGAACGTCCAAAAAAGAAAAGCGTGAACCTTCTAATGGGACGGAGGAAGTAACTTTTAGTCCCTCAAACTACGGAGTATTAAAATTACTTTTCAAATGATAGAAATGCTCTTGAAATGCATAACATGAATCTAATGTGAGATTCTGTGTTTATTATAACAGGATAAATGACAAAAAAGGCCAAAAAGCAATTTTGTAGCACCAAAATTGAAAAAATTAAGAGTTCTACACGAGAAGTGACTTAATTGCCATAGGAGTTCACAACAAAGTAGAAATAATTCTGTAATATACGAGTATCATCTCTTTGAGGTGTGTATGAAGACTACGAACAAATCTATATTTACCAATGAATTGTGTATAACATTTTTGTTTTGTTTTTTAAAGAACATGTTGGTGTTCTTTGTGCTATGGTCTATTTACCAAACAACTTAGTGATAACAATAAGAGATACAATGCAATATCTGGCATGCTTTCTTTTTTGCTTCTCTCTAAAGCTTTCTTTACACATAAATGAAACAGAAGAGAGCTTTATTTGAAACGAGTCATTTACAAGTTGTTTCTTTGAATGTACAAGTTGTTTTATCTTTAAAAAATCTAATTTTTTATCTTATTTTTAATAATGTCAAGACACTTTATAGTTAGTCTATTATCCCTTGCAATGCACGAGTTAAAGACTAGTATTCTTGTAAACACTCCGTACATTTTTTAAAATTTTTACATTTCATGCAATTATAGTTCTATTTATTATACATTTGAATTTTTTTAAATGAAATCCTATATCCAAATATTTTCATTCTTTCCATCTAATTGATGAAGAGGTGACACAATTTTCTTCTAAAAGATAGCTATCGATTACTTCAACATATTATTGCTTTGCCATATTTATCAATTTCATCTTTCATCTTCTTCACTTGGTCTTCCAATTTCTAAAATTTGTTGGAAATGGAGGTCGTCCCGAGTAAATCAAATACGTGTAAGAAGGAATCCGTCCCACATGAAAACGGCTAACGAAAGCGTGTCCAGCTGTAACTCGATCACGCCATCCAGTTGTGACTCAATCACCGATTCCTTATCGCTGTCAAACTCTCTGTTCACAACCGACTCCAGATTGAAATTGCGAATTTCCCTCGCTCGGCGCATCTATATATATATTCAGTCCTCGTGTTTACCGATCATTGAATATCTTATATCTATTTCTCGAATCATCACTTCTCTCTTATATTTTTATACATTTCAATTCAATTTATTTCTATAAGATAAGATGGCTCAATTCGGAGTGTTTTTGGTGATGGTATTGGCCTTGTTCTTGGTTGGATCTGGTACAGCTCAATCTCCTTTAGCCGCTCCAGCTCAATCCCCGGGAAGATCTGTAGTTCGACCGTCACCACCACAGGCGACAGTTTCCGCACCGGTACCGGCACCGGCGAGATCTGTAGTTCCCACCGTCGCACCATCTCTGGCTCCTGCTCTAGCTCCTTCTGCTGTTTCACCGGTCGCTTCTCCCCTGGCTTCCCCTCCCGCCAGTTCTCCAACTGCGTCTCCCCCTGTTTCCGGCGCTAATCCGCCATTCAACGCGCAGTCTCCTGCTGGTGCTGCTGCTAACTCTGCTTCCAGAGCTTCCGGATCGAACAAAGTCGCCCTCGCTGGATCTGCAGGAGTAGCTTTGTTTGCTGCTGCTTCTTTGCTGTTTTAAGTTCTGTATAACTTCTTTTCCGATTCTCTCGCGTTGATTATTTTGCAGTATTTGTACTTATTTTCGTTTTTTTGGAACTTACTCTTCGTAGTTTGGATGATCAGAGTTAGGAGTGGACAAAATAGGTAGCATATAGGCCATAAATTCGTCGTTCACATGTGATTATACCTATATCTCCAGTGTTGATTGTTGTTCTCACAGTCGGTTGTGATTCTTTTATTGATATATGATTCTCTTTGTTAACTACATCTCCGGTGTTGATTAATGAGCGTGTTTGCCAATTAGCGGTTACCTGTTAGCGGTTACCTGTTAGCAGATTGTGTTAGGGCTCGGTAGCCGGGTTTGACTAGCAGATTCATTTAGGGGTTATAGAATGATGTTAAGAAATTAGCCATAATAGGACTTAAACATGCTAAAAAATTCATATTAGGACTTACCAAGTTTTCTCTCGTTGATAGGACTTATACGGTCGTATCTACTTTAGGAAATATCCTAAATACCCCTGTTCGAAGTTCGCTTGAGATTGTTTACACGCACGTAAAATTTACCGGCCTTTTTCGATTATTCAGTTTCAAGCGGTTAAGGAGTTTCCGTTTACTTGTTGGTTGAGTAGTTTCCTTATCCGAGTAGTTTCCTTATCCGAGTAGTTTCCTTGTTCGTCAATTCTGCATCTTTTTCCTGCATTCGTCAATTCTGAGTACGAGGTCATTGCTGCCTGTGTTTCGTTCTTTGCAGGGTATGTTTACTTCAAATTTAAAGCTTTCATAATACTGGCCGTGATTCTGTTTTCGTTCGTCAATTCTTCTTCAATTTTCGTTCGTAAAATTTAAAGCATTCTTTTTCCTGCATTCGTCAATCCTTCTGTTTTTTCCTTCCAGCTCTGTTTTTTTCTTCAATTTCATATTATCGATCCTTTCATCATATGATCGCTTTCAAATTCGTTATAATCAACAATTTATTTCGTATGTCGTTGTACTCTGTTTTATTTCATTAAATTTCATCCGCTAGTTTAGATATCAGTTTGTATCTACAATTTATTTTGTTTTTGTTAAATTCTCTATTCGTCTACCTAAATTATGCCCTTCGAACTGTCATTTAGTTTGTTCGAACTGTCATGTATATGCATTTTTTTATTACTCCTTTTTATATTCTGTAATTGTATATAATTGGTACACATTCTTATAAACTGTCATATTGTTAACACAACTGTCATAATTTTGTCCAAACTGTCATTTAGTTTGTGCTACGTTCCTACCTGTATATGCATTTTTTGATTTCGCCTTTTTATGTTCTGTCATTCAATGGTATACATCCTTATAAACTGTCATATTGTTAACAAAATTGTCATTATTTTGTCCGAAATGTCTTTTTTCATACTGAAATATTTCTTTTGCTGCATTTTTTTAGGAATCTTTTTACCACAATGGATCCTATTTTATTTGTTATGGTCAAGATTGACGGTTTTTGGGATTCTAACAATGTGTTCAACAATGTCCACACATGTGACCTTCATGTTAACTATAATGTTCAATATGCTTCTTTTATTAACTCTTTGAGTGACATCCTTTCTCAGTACAAAGTTAATCATAATTTCAGGTTTTCTTATATGCGAGATGGATTTCCTCCTCCTGTTACTATAAATGATCAATCTACCTTAACATTTTATCTTTATATCAAGTCTCTTCAACCAGATTTTTCATTGTATCCACTTTGTGTTGAGTTTTATCCTGTTTCATCTTCTCCTGCATTTTCTATTGATGTTGGACCATCTGCTTCTCCTTGGTCTGAAAATGTTGTCATTTCTTCACAACAACATACCCCTTATGATGAGAATGTTGTTGTTTCTTCTTCCCATGCTTCACGACAACATACCACTTATGAGAATGTTGTTGTTTCTTCTGCCCAACAACATTCCTCCTCACCTACACTTTCTTTTGATGATGGCCCACCATTTGGTCAGATGATATGTCAGATGGCCTTTTAACTAAATCATCTGACTCATTCTCATTTCTCCAAAATTTTGAAATCATCACACAGTCCCATCCTACTTGTCTTCTTCTCCATGCTATTTACAAAAATAAAAAAGAACTTATCCACCATATGAAGATGTATGCTATCACAAACCACTTCCAATACAGAACTAAGACATCGAAGAAAATATGTTTGCATGTTATTTGCTTAGATCCAAAATGTTATTGGAGTGTTCGAGCTGTAAAATTACATGGCGTAACAATGTTTCAAATCAGAAGGTAACTTCAATTTTCCTTCTTTAATTCACTTCATTGTAAATTCTGTTTTATAAGAATGTCATGTTGTGTTGCCATTCTTATACAGGACTGTCAACTTCATATTATGTATTTGTATACTAATGTCATTTTTCTTTTCAGATTCCGGCCAGTTCACACATGCTCTATTGATTACAGACAAGGCAAACACAGACAGACATCTGCTAGTGTGATAGCAAATATTATTGCACACAAATACCTTGATGCTTCCAATAAACCATACCCCCAAAGCAAATTCGTGAGGACATGAGTATGCAGTATGGAATTTCCATGTCATACAACAAAGCTTGGAAAGCACAGAAGAAAGCAATGCAGCTGCAATTTGGTTTTGATCTTGAATCCTATCAGCTTTTGCCTTCAATGGCTTATGTGCTTGAGAAAACAAATCCTGACTCTATGTTTAATCTAGTCACAGGGAAGGATGATGCATTTTCTACCTTTTTTATGTCATTCAAACCATGGATAGAAGCTTGGTCCTACTGCAGACCTGTTCTTATATTGGATGGTTCTTTCATGAAGGCTTACTATAAAGGCACTCTCCTTACAGCTTGTTGCCAAGATGCCAATGATCACATAGTTCCTATTGCATTTGGTATTTGTGGTTCTGAAACTAAAGCTTCTTGGAAATGGTTCTTATCCAAAGTTTGTCAATCAATAAAGTACAGACATGACCTGTACGTAGTATCTGATAGGCATAAAGGGCTTATCAAGGCCGTTTCTGAACTCTTGCCACATGCTAGCCACGATTTTTGTGTTGCTCATCTTGGTCGTAACATAACATCAAAATTCAGAAGATCTGCAGCTGGTTTGGGATGGAAGTTCAAAGCTGCCTATATGGCAGCAACTATGAAAGAATATGATGACTACTTATCCATGTTGGATTCTGAAGACACCAGGATAAGGACTTGGCTAGACAAATTAGGTGCTAACACATGGTCAAAAGTAATGTCTGGCCCAAAGAGATATAATATTATGACATCAAATTGTGCTGAGTCTATGAACAAAGTCAATGTCTGTGCTAGAGAGTATTCTGTGTCTAAACTTGTTGATTTCTTGCGTGAAAGGATGCAGCAATGGTTCACAGAGAGGAAAGATAAAGCTGAGAAAACAAGTACTATACTCACAAAGAAATGTGAGAAACGCCTGGTAGCTTTGCAAGCTGAATCCACACGTATGAAGGTATGTCAAAGCTTATTTTTTGACTTTGAATACCATTAGCCCATTTTCATTTTTTCATCTCCTTTTATAATTCCACTTTGTTTGTTAATATGTCATTTTGTCTTTATAATTTTGTCATTTTTGTGTACTTCATATTCAAATAGTCTTACTAGCGTTTTTATTTATCATTTCTCTTCTACTTAATATTCATATATAAGTTGACATTTTACATACTTCATAGCCACATATTACTGCTATATTCTTTTGCTAATTCTCTTTTTTATCTACTTTCATATTCTTATTTTTTTTATTTCACAGGTTAAACCATCATGTGCATATGAATTTGAAGTTGTTGACAGTAGATGCAAGTCCTTTGTGGTAAACCTCAACTCTAGAAGTTGTACATGCGGCCACTTTCAATTAGATCAATTTGTGTGTGTTCATGCTGTGGCTGCAATCGGTATACGCCCACACCTTTCATGTTATACGTACATATCTCCATATTACACAAGAGATGCTTGGCTTGCTACATGGTCTGGTATCATGCATCCTATTGCTGATCCTGACAGTTGGTCAATTCCTGCTACTATTCAAAACCAGAGATGCAAGCCACCAAGTTGTTTGAAGGGTCCTCCTGGCCGCCCTAAGAAATGCAGGATTCCATCCATCGGAGAATATAGAGGTTCAAAACGTCAAAAATGTTCTAGATGCCATGTGCTTGGGCATAATAAAAAAACTTGTAGAAATCCAATTCCAATTAATACCCAGTGATGTAGATTTGTCCACTCATTTTATGTTGTCTTCTGTTTTTTTTGTACTTTTAACAATTCTACTATGTGGTTTGGACTTGGTTATCATTTCGTTGAACGTTTAAGGTTTTGTGCTTTAGCCATTCTTGGCATTTAAGTGTTTATGACTTGTGCTTTATCCAAATGTTTTATCCCAAATGTCATCTCAATAATGTAATGTCATTTTGTTTATGTATAAATGACATATGTGACATTTGATGGCATTTTGTATTCCACAAAATGTCATGTTACTTGTCAATTTGTTGTCATTTATTTTCTACATGTAAATGACATTCAATCCTAGTATCCATCTACATGTTACTATAAAAAATGCTCTAGATAAACTTGCCAAGGGGACGTACGTCCCTTTAACAGATAGATTTTTTGAACGTAATTTAATAAAATGCATTGTCACAATGCATTGTCATAAAACATATTCCATCCATTGGAGAATATAGAGGTTCAAAACGTCAAAAATGTTCTAGATGCCATGTGCTTGGGCATAATAAGAAAACTTGTAGAAATCCAATTCCAATTAATACCCAGTGATGTAGATTTGCCCACTCATTTTATGTTGTCTTATGTTTTTTGTACTTTTAACAATTCTACTATGTGGTTTGGACTTGGTTATCATTTCCTTGAACGTTTAAGGTTTTGTGCTTTAGCCATTCTTGGCATTTAAGTGTTTATGACTTGTGCTTTAACCAAATGTTTTATCCCAAATGTCATCTCAATAATATAATGTCATTTTGTTTATGCATAAATGACATATGTGACATTTGATGGCATTTTGTATTCCACAAAATGTCATGTTACTTGTCAATTTGTTGTCATTTATTTACTACATGTAAATGACATTCAATCCTAGTATCCATCTACATGTTACTATAAAAAAATGCTCTAGATAAACTGGGCAAGGGGACGTACGTCCCTCTAACAGATAGATTTCAAAGTTGATGTCATTTTGTTTTCTAAAAACTGTCATCCAAATGTCATTTATCATGGATTTTCTTCAT